ATTTGAGTTGCTTTAACAAGAAAATATCTAAAATTGATTACCAGCACAGGAGGTGAAGCCTTTTGCAAGGAACTGTATCTTCAAGAAAATAAAAGCTATAATCAGGAAATCCGAGCTGCCGATTAAAGTTATAGAACGGCCAGGTCCAACTCTAAAAAATCAACTTTCGACATCTCAGTACATACCCTACAATGTAATAAAGCCAACTGTCTTACAAAAACGTGTTTGCAATCTAAAGATGAGTGTCTTGTCTCCAATGTTGTTTACCAGCTTACATGTAACTTCCGCCATCATACTTACATAGGGAAAACCAGAAGAACCCTATACACAAGGATAGGAGAACATATTGACTCTTTATTGATTATATAACATGAAAGAAGTGCAGTTGCAGGTCATGTTTTAACTAATCATGATCAAATAACATCTGACTTGAAACCACCATTCTTCCTAACTACTAAGTACACTGACAGTAATTTAATGAAGCTCTTCTCATCGAACAACTACGACCACAGATGAATAGGGACAAAGGATGGCACCTATAATTTTGATTATCATTTTTTTTATCATATCGTTTTGTTATTTCTATCTGTAACTTTGATATAACTTTTGTTTACTTACAGGTAGCAGTTAATTATTTCAACAATAATTTCTCTCAGCAATAAGCTTTACTACTTAATATGTCATTAGCGCGCTGTATAAATGCACGTTATGGATTCGAATAGAATTTATTATTCAAACCATTTGAAGCTTTGTACTGTCAGTTTAGGTTTGTGTTTTAGTGGAACGCTTCTGAAGAAACTGTAAAACGCTTCGTTTAGTGTCTTATTAAATAAAAATAATAACTTGGTGTTATAAAGTCGTTTATTTTAGTATTAAAATAGTGTATAATGTGTGAGAGATTCTTGTGTTCATAGGTTAACATTAAAGTACGTTAACAAAAGGCGCATACACGTGTAATGTAGCCTCACATACACGTTGCCCCACTACTACTGAAAATGAATGACGTGAAATGACCATTACGCAACTAATAAATGATTCACCTAAGCCTTATAACAATTTATCCAGAACTTCCCTCGTGTAAATTAACATTTCACTCCTTTTATCATCGAAAACTCTTTATCAACAATTTAAATCAAAATGTTACACCTGTACCTAAAACCTTTTACAGTATACAGATTTATGGACACTGCAAAAACAAGTAATAACTGGCTATACACTCTAGCGGTTTGGACTAACTTTGATGCTTATTGAATCTTGTGCAATGCGTGGTTACTTACGTCAACTGTTTGTAATACACGCGAAGCGTGGCTATTTCAGGAAAAAAAATATTGTCGCTTATTTATTTACCCTCACTATCTATACACAGTTTGGTAACATAGTCTTGATACTGTTGTGAGATACCAAATTTGTTAGTGATATAATGTTACTATCTTAGTTATGACCTAAGTTTGTTTTTTAAAACAAGTGTATGAAGCAATGTGTTTATTATCACAGCCAACAGATGACACTACTGCATCACTAATGAGCCTATTTAGGCCCTTTACAACTAGTAGTTGACCTCCCTGTTAACAAAGAAGACGGAAAGAATATATAAAGATTAACGTACAATTTATTTTCACTGATTGGCACATATTTAGCAATGATGAGTTGAAGCAGTGTGAAGAGGTTCATATGCTTTGCAGAGTGGTCGCTTTTACGATCAATCCTGTAAGAGCATTCTGTAAAAAAA